CAGCCCCCCCGAGCCGCTCTCCCGGCTCCCCGGTGCGGTACCCCCGGATCAACGGCCACCCCTACGAGCATGCTCACGCGGTCCTCAGGCAGGTTCTCTCGGTGTACAGAACAGACGCAACCTTGTGACGTAGTGGGGGGGTGTCTGCTCTGCAACCCAGGGTCCCCTTGCGCTGTGTGATTCCCACGGACTCACCCACACGTGGATTGGCCCAGACACCTAGTCCCAGCCTGGGCAGGTAACAGGGCTCTTCCCAGGGGGAGAGACAACGGGAGGGAGGCGGAGACAGTCACTGGGCTGGGGGGCAGGGCTGGGAGGGAGGGAGTTCCTGGCAGGAAAACATGAAGGGAACAGACTAAGCTGGGTGCAGAGGGTTGGGGGGTGATGGACCCCCTACCCCGAGGGGGCTGAGGCATCCTGGCCCTGACTCCTGTAGCCACATCCCGTCTGTGCTGGGCTGTACCCCGGAGAAGCAAGAAACCCCCCTGTTCTACTGGCTGCAGAGTCTGTTCTTGCTGCTGCGGGGGTGCAGGCTCAGGGGGACCCCGACGCGCCGTCACCCCCCTCCGCAGGCCTAGGGTCCTATTTTCGACACCCGGGGGTGTGCGTACAGGGTGTCAGTCGCTCTCTCGTCCCGGCATCCGCAAGGTGCCTGGGTAGCGCCGCCGTCCGCGCCCTCTGGGTAAATAGCGGCAGCTCTGCCCGTGCTGCTCAGGGACTCCCAGGAACCCCTGACAAGGGCAGGCGGGCGGCTGGGCCTGTCCCCAGCTCCTTAGCAGAAGGGCTCGTGCGCGGCAGGTGATTCACTCCCGCTCGGGAGTGAAAACCATCCGGTCTGCTCCCCCTGCCTGGAGAACAAGCCAGGCCAGCTGCCGGGGGCCCCCAGCCCCAGGAATCCAAACGTCCCCGGGGCAGGGGCCCCACGGTCAAAACAGACCAGCTGGAATTGGGACTGGCGGCTCGTGGGCCAGGAATAGCCACGGGCAGGTAGAAAACCGCCTGCTCCTGCTGGCTCACTGCCCAGGTACCTGCCTCCTCGCGCACTCCCCACGTGTCCCAGCGCTGCTGGAATGGGACCCGATGCGCGTGTCTGCTCCGCGGGACGGTGGCCAGCTGTGGAAGCCCCCCTGGAACCTGCTCACGGCCCCCCAGGGAGCCTGCTGGAGGAACACTG